AGTGGGTCAGGGTGGTCCTGCAAGCTTATGCAAATTCCCTCCTGGTTGCTCTTCTCTTCAGTAAACTACAAAACAAGGTCATCAGAGTAGGAGACAGGTAAATAGAGAAAGTTTGAAATAATGATCTACAAGGGTGGGGTTATAAATGGACCAGTAAACTATCATTATAGCCAAGTATCATTTAAGCTTAGTAGAAGAAATTTTTCATGAAATGTATACATATCAGGCATTTCCAATGACTAAACTAGCACTTAATAATTATTATTGTAAGTGAAACTTTGAAAGATCATCTAGTACAATTGCTATTATTCAAAAACTTTACTTTAAAGAGAAAGAAGGAAACCTTAGGACTTAGTTCTAATACTGTAATTTTACTTTTCTCAACCTACACAGACCAGAAGTAGCCAAAATTTGTTTATAGTTGAAAGGGTCCTGAAAGATGAGAGTACATATCCCAACAGAGCTCAATTCACTTTTTATGGATGGATGAATGAAAGAATTAATAGGTAAATGTACTTGGAGAACTCACTATTTTAGAAGGTAACTTATAAAGAAAAGTAATAATTTTGATGTTGAACTGTCATCTTGTAATTTTGATATCATTAATTTTCAATGTTCACAATTAGGACCTAATTCTAGTATTTGTAAAATTTATAGGAGATAATAAAAATATATTCCTTAATTTGGAAAAGGAATGAACTATTTTCAATTAATTCAAAGAAACTATTCTAAGAAGAGAGATACAATCTTTAGGTTTGTGAGATTTCTATTCCTCTATTTCCCAAGGATAGTTTCCTTATACTAAACTTTTTTGAGAATTTTGTATACAAATATTAATTTTAATTGTAGAAATAAGGAAACCGATGAAGAAAGAGGAAAGGAAAATATTAATCATAAACAAATGTGAAAGATAACTACTTATAACTTGAAGTACAGAAATTTCCCTGTCACATTCATTTAGGAGTTTTTGCCTTCATAAAGTTTATATTCTGTAACAGTTGATGTTAATTATTATTCTTTCTAAATTTCTATTTTCTGTTTTCTTTATTTCAGAGAATAGGAATATTACAAAGAGTATTGAAAACAAGCCCTGATTTATAGTTCTTACCAATTTTCATCGTGTAAATACTCCCATTTCTGATTTCAAGCCTCCAACAATTCCAGCATATTTACTAATGCGCCCCTAGGGATCGCATGAGTCAACTCCAGCCTACTACTGTTTGAACAGTGTTTAAAGTGAAGGCAGAGATTATTTAGAAGGCCATAGTAGTAATCTAGGCAAAAGATAAATAGACTGAATTAAGGTAGTAGAAAGAGGAGAGACAGGTTCCAAACAGAAGAGATGAAAGGGAGGTCATGAGGAAATAACCCTTTCACATGTCTTTGTATCCCTCATATGGATGTTGGGCCGCTGTGTTCTGATGGATTGTTCTGTTGAGTAGAGGCGATATTGCCCTAAACAGCGTGGATATTTCCTTTACCAATCATCCAAATGAAGGATACAGCTTGGAATAGGAAGTGAAGGATTGAGTTGCGAGTCTTTATTAAGAGGCAGAGGCAATTCAGTGGTCTCTTGGGCCTGGACTCAAGAACTTTTAGACACACGCTAGGGCAATATTTTATAAATTGAGTTGATGAGATTGGCAAAACAAAATAAAACAAAGCATCTCTATGTGTGTATTTTATTGATTGACATACTAAATATATGTGTGTGTGTGTTAGTATACTAATATATAACATCTATTATAGAACATATGGACATATACAATCATTTTCAAAGGAAGATTTAGTAGCTGCAAAGAAGTTCTGATACCTTCTTTCCCCACCCAGTGGGTTATTTTTTGTATACCTTGAGTGTTATGCACTCTTCTTTGGAGATTCATACTCTCAGGAGCACCCTAAGGTATTGGCCCTGCCACATAGTGACGCTTTCATGGACAGGAAGGTGCCTACTGAAGACTCCTATAGAAATGAACCAGGGTCTGTGGTTTTGGAAAACAGTCACATTTGGTAGGCTATTTTCCCACTAAATTCTGTATTCTCATTCCCATCTGCCACCCTAAAGTTTCTCATTAAAAAATACAGCCTTGTTTTTACTTTTGCTCCATGGAATTAAGGAGAAGTTCTGTGTCCAAAATTGCATTCAAGAATCCACAATGTAGATAGAAGCAGAGATTATTATTCATATATTTATCCATTCACTTGTCAAACATTTACTGAGCACTTAATGTGCCAAGTCCTGTTCTGGGAGTTGAGAATTAGCCTGGAACAAAGCATTCAAAAATGGCTGTCTTCTCGGAGCTTACATATGGTGGCAGGAAGAGCACTTCAGGAAAGGGAAGCAGCAAAGTTAGAGGCTATGAGACAGGAATGTGCTTACTGTGTTGGGGAACAACAAAGAAACCACTGTGGCTGGAGCAAAGTGAGCTTAAGTAAGAGGAAGGACTTGAGGTCAGAGAAGTAAAGGGTGGGGGTATGGAGGAATAGTGTCACAGATTGTCTAGGGCCATGTGGTCATTATAAGAAATATAGCTTTTACTGTGAGAAACTTAGGAAATCACTGGAGAATTTTTAGCAGACAAGTGACATCATCTGAAGGCACTTTAACTGGATCATTCAGGCTGCTGGGTTCAGAATAGACTGGGGCAAGGATGGTGTACAAGAGCAGAAGCATGGAGACCAGTCAAGATTCTGCCATAACATATTGAAGCAAAATAATGCAAATGAGAGAGATGATGTTGGCCTGGATTACACTGATAGCAGTAGTCAAATTTTGTATGTATTTTGGAAGTAGTGCACCCAGGTTTTGTTAACTGATTAGATGTGGTCTTTGAGAAAGGGAAATCAAGGATGATGCTAAGACTTTTGACCTGAGCAACATGAAGAATGGAGTTACTTGTTCTTAGGTAAGAAAGATGAAGACAGAGTGGACTATCAGATGGTCAGTTTAGACATGTTAAGTGTGAGATGCCTATAGAGTCTGGAGTTAAGCAGAAGGGACCAGACTGGAACTCCTAATTTTGGAGTTTTTAGAAGATAGATGGTATTTAAAGCCATGGGACTGAATGAGATCACCCAGAAGGGAATATGGATAGGGAAGAAATAAAATGGATTTCGGATATATTTTGTAATTAAAGTTGACAGGAGTTGCTGGCTGTTTAGATGTAGGTGTAAAAAATAAGAGTGAAGGATGACTACAAGGATTTGGGGGGAAAAATGAAGTTATTGATGGACCACTCCTGGGGTTCTCCAATCTTGGAGATAAACAGGAATCAGAAAACCAGACTGAGAAGCAATGGTTAGAAAGAAAGGAATCAAACCAGGGAAGTGGAATGTCTTAGAAGCCAAGTGAAGACAATGTTTCAAGGAGTAAGCAATGGTCCTTGAAACCTGTGTCAAATGCTACTAGACTGATATGAAAACTGAGAAATGATAATTGGATTTCACACGATGGAGATCATGGTCAATTGCGATTACTGTTGCGATGATTGAGAAAGAGCTGGGAACAAAAGGGTAATGATGAGAATTGCTTTCAGTGAGAATGAAGGAATAAAAATTGTAGAGACAGATTATAAGATTATAGATAATTCTAAGGAATTTTGCTGTAAAGGAGAGAAATGAGGCAATAGTTTCAGGGGGAAATGTGGTCAATGTTTTTTTGTTGTTTGTTTTTAGGATGGGCAAATACTGGTATGTATTTATGCTAATAAGAATTGATCAACAGAGAGGGAAATTTTAAAGACACATGAGAAAGCAGGGGAGGGGTGTTGCTGAAGCAATGTGAATGGGTAAGCTACAGAGGATGAGTTTTAGTACACAAGAGAAGCGCTGGCCTTTGCCACAACATGGACATAGTGATATGAACAGGAGAGAAGGTAAAATATTTCCCGTCAAGATGTAGGTAGGTGGGTAGATGTCCTGGGAGCCTGTAGAATTTCTCTTCTGATTCTCCTTTCTCAATTGATCAGGAAACCAGGTCATTGGCCAAAAAATGAGTTTGAAGAGAGAGAAGATATGAAATGATCAAGGAAAGAGTGAGTGTGAAGGGATGAGGGAAATATCTAAGGTCTGCTGGGGAGCATACCAATCCATTTCAGGTGATTTTCATAAACTGAAGCTGAGACCGGACAGTGTGATTTTGTTTTTGCCTTTAGTCACACTCAGTGGCTCAGGGCAGACAAGTTTAGATGGGAGTTTCAGATTTAACTAGCACTATGGTTTGGGCAGACAAGTAAAAGGAATGGGGGCAAATGTATTGAAGGTATATGTGTGGGAGTGATGATAATGATTAACCATGGAATTTAGTCAAGTAGAGAAGTGAGGACAGAGTGGGGCGGTCAAGGTCAGTGAAATGTGGCAGAATTAATGGAGTATAGGTGCAATGAGTTGGAAGGATTTCTGGAGTTTTGTGATGAGAGAAGTGAGCTGAGATATGAGAAGTAATGTTCAAAAGTGTGTTTGAAACTGAGATTATAGAGTGATCTCAATTATTAAAGATGGACTGTATCATGTGAACAAGGTTAGCGAGAGGCTGGAGGATGGATCACTCGAGGAGATCCATCCCTATCTCGAGGAAGGTAAATCTCAGTGCACAAGAGTTCAAGCCACTAGGTCTATCTCTGAAGGAGAGGGATTATTTGTAACAAAGTTGGTAGGTTTATACCCAAAAGCTCTCTATCTAATAGGAAGACAGAGTGTAGCAGTCAGTCTAAGATCTTCAGTGAGAATCTGGGTCTGGGCGCCCCTAGGACTGGGTCCCAACGTAGCTGCAAGAGGCTAGGCAATAGAATCTGGTGTCACCCCATGCAAGCGGCCCCCGCCGTTTCTGGTCTCTGGCCCGCTTCCTCTCTCTGATCCGCTTCCCGTATCTGGCTGACTTCTACTCTGGGACTGGAGTGAGCAGGGGCTGCAAGCCCAGTGGTGGGCCTCAGGGCCAGGTGGGGCGGTTAGGAGCCCCAGGGACATCCTGGTCCAATAGAAGGACTGCCTCCTGCACCGTCATGAAAAAGCTTTTCGTCTTCTGGAGAAGGAAGCATGAGTCTCCTGGCTCCTTCTCACACCTGCCTGTAAGCCGGGCCAGTACCAGGCTGCCCACTGAGCTGGGCTACGACCTTCGAGATAAGGATTTCAAGAAATTTCCCAAGGCTGCCTCAGTAAGGGATTTGGAGAAGGTGAAGGAGTATCTTCATACCTTCAGCTCATGAAACATGAATGTGGACAAGCGGGACGGGACAGAGAATAGAAATGACCACAGTGATGAAGGGCAGTGTGGAGGGGAAGCTGGGGCCACTGGGTCCTCTTACCAGAAACAGGACTTGTCTAGGCTACCCCACTGGTTGTCACTCCGGGTTTCCCATAGCAGAGAGGTCTGGTAACCATTGGCAGAGGGTCACACTCCCAACTTTCAGCTTCTTAGTTTTAAAAATGCGCACAGGGATATTTGAGGGCATTTTTACCCTCCCTGATCCCCTCCACTCCTCCCACTGCCTTAACCTCCACTGGGCACTCTACCCTTTCCCCAGCCTGCTGTTTTTTATTTTGGTACATATTGTTCCCAGCTGCCTAAGATATACCATATTACTAATGTACTAACAGGAAAAGAGTAAAAGTGAGCTCCAAGAGCAGTGGTTATTAAGATTTTAAAACTTTGAAATAGCAAAACAATTAACTTTTTAATGTGGGTCTCACGAATTTTGCTTTTCAATTGCAGCATATATTCAAAAAGCCCATCAACAACCACTTACTGCAAAAACAACATTAATTTTGTATGTTAAGCAATAAAGAACTTACGTGTTTGGCATTAATGACAGAAGATATGTACTATCTATGCTTACCTTAAAATCCTTGGGAGCATTTTCAAGTCAAGTATGAAAAGCGTCATCTTTCATCATGATTGAGTAACTGGAAACTGTGGTTAGAAAGAGTATTTGTGTCAGCTTGCTGATATTTTATCTCCTCTTTTAAGAATAACAGAGTTATCTAACTTATCTGACTTTTAGCCTACATCACACCGTTGAATTACCTTACAAGGTCATGGATAACCTCAACCTGACTTCATTCAGTGGTCAACTCTCAGTCTTAACTGCCTGGCATCTTAGTCAAGTATCTTTCTTGCCCTAACAGTATTATTTAAAATATTATCTTGTCTTTCAAGACATTTGGTTCACCTGGCATTTCTTCTGTTTCTGTGGATGCTTCTTTTCAGACTCTTTCGCTGATTTCTCCTCTTCTTCCTGAGTGGTAAATATTTGAGGGTTCAGACATTGAATGATTCTCTCTCTCTTTTAATCTTCACTCACCTGGTGAAGAGAGATTGGCTTTAAATATCTATATTCCAATGCCTTCCAACTGTTTATCTCCAGCTAGACCTCTCCTCTGAACTCTAGACCCATATATATGTAAATGCCTTACACTTCCACTTAGATGTCTATTAGGCTGCGGTGTGCTGGCAAATGTTTAATAACAGGCTCTTGGGGGTGGGGGATGGGGGGTGAAGAAAGGAGAAGCCCTGATTTCAAGCTACCAGTGAGATGTCAATGGGCTCCAATAATTCCTGAAAACTTAGCAAATGGCTTGTGAGAGCCACTGGCTCCATCCCGTCACTGCTTAGGCATTTCAAACATCCCCAGACCGTACTCCTGTTAGTCTTCCCATCTTGCTCTGCTCTTTCTATAAATACCAAATCCTTGCTTTTAATTGTTTAGGCCAGAAACTCTAAAGTCATTCTTGACTCCTCTAATTCTTTCACATTCTTCATCTGACTCAGCAGTAAATCTTATTGGCTCCACCTTCAAAGTATATCTAAAATCCAACCATTTCTTGACACCTTCACAGTGACCACCCTGGTCAAAGCCACCATCATGTCTTAACCAGAATTACTGTAGTGGCCTCTCCAGTCTTCTACCTTTTAGCCTTTTCAGTTTACCCTCAACACAGTAGCCAGAATGATCCTGTAAAATGGGTGTCAAATGATGTTGTTCCTTGCCTTAACAACTTTCACTTGCTTTATCTCTTTAGGGGTAAAAGCAAAGGTTCTTCTAATGGCTCACACAGCCCTACACGGCCTTCACCCCCACCCTGTTGTTGTCTCTCTGATCTTACCTCCTGACACTCTCCCTTTCATTCATCTCCAGCTACCTTGGGCTCCTTAGTGTTCTACAGAAATGCCAGAAATGTATTCAGGGCCTTTGGACTTGTTATTCTCTGTGCCTAGAATGCTTTTCCCCCAGATATCCTCATGGCTTGCTCTCTCACTTCCTTTAGGTGTTTATTTAATTGTCACCTTATGTGTGAGAGCTTCCCTAGCTACTCTACCTACAGCTGTACCCCCTCTCCTCGCTGACATTTCCTATCCTTCTTCTCTGCCTGATTTTTCTCTTAGCACTTAATACTGTCTGGCATACTTGGCATTTTAAGTCTTTTGTTTACCTCTTCCTCTAGCATGTGTGATCCATAAGAGCAAGTATTTTTGTCTGTTTTGTTTGCTGCTGTATCCTCATCACCTAGAACCCCGCATAGCCGTAGTAGGTTAACAGGAGGTTCAGATGGGGCGGGAGGAAAGGGGATTGATTGTAAAGGGGCATGAGGGAACTTTTCAGAGTGATGGAAACGTTCTTTGTCATGATTATAGTGGTTATGTGACTGCACATTAGTTAAAACTCCCCCCAAAATCTCAAACTGTATATTTTAATATTTGTGTGTATGTAGAGAAAGAGAGATTGAGAATGAGAGGGATAAATGTGAAAGGACACATCCTAAACCTAACATCACTGTTCTGAGGAGGAGATGAGATTTGGGCAGAGGAAGAAGGTGGATGAGAATGGTCATGGGAGACTTCTGCTTTGTGTTGTTTGAGTTTTTTTTTAAACGGTGAATTATAATGTTTTACACAACGTTCTATAAACGCATTTTAGAAGCATTGTGCTGAAGTTCTCTGATACCTCATGTAAATGTATGTACATATTAATAATGGCCTTATGGAAATAACATTTGAAATATGTTTTCCAGTCAAAAAATGGTACTGAAAGTGGAAATTTCTGGTTAGGAGAGAATGGGGGAAGCACCATGTCAGTTAATGAGCAAGTTGTTTTGGAGACCACAGCAGCCCAGGAGGAAGAACGTTCTTTGGGGAATAAAGATCCAAATTTGAGGTTCGCTCTGCGTTTGTATGACCTTGACCCTAACTCTCCTCATTTGTCAAATCATAGCTATTTCTAGATGGATGTTTTTTTAAACCAAGATCTGCAAAGCCCTGTTGCAGGCTACTTGTTATTACACAGAGTAGCTCCCTGTTAGTGTGCTTTGATTATTTGGCTTCTATTTCTATTTTTATTTCAAGAGTACTGCACCTAGTAAGTTTGAAAATGAATAGGAGATGTTTAATATCTCTTACTGCTATGAAATTAAATTACTTATGGTTTTTAACAAAAAGTCTTTCAGATCTATATATAGCCTGGTAGGTGACAGCTAAATTCCAAACTACTACTTTTAGCCACACTACTCAAACCCAGATTAGATCTAAAGTGCCAAGCCTAGAGTTGAAAATAATTCATGATCTAGGATGAGGTAGCTTCCTGAGTGACTTGTTCACTAACCCTGAAGTCTGAGTTATCAAGAGCCCAACAAAATCAGTTAATAAAAAGGGTATTCTCATGATGAGACCTAATGGAAGACTGCAGCTGTGTTCTGGTCCTGCCCCCTGTCTAGCGGATAACACGTTTCATCTCTGCTTCCATAGTAATGATCCACTCTTGACATCCATCCAAGTCATGCCTTTTGCTGAAGTTCGGTTAGAGATTTCTGGGATCTGACAGTTCTTCTCCTGTCCACAATCTATGCTGACAATTCTTTCACTGGTATATGGGAGAGTGAGAGAGGGGGGAAAACAGAAATTGAATGAAATAAAATGACACCAGCACTAAATTTCTTGTAAGATAAGTACTAGGAGTTAAAAAGTAACAATATAAACTAAAGTCTTATATTGGGAATATACTACATTCATAAAATAAAAGTTATGTAATGGAATAATATTGGTTTTAAAGTGTTTCTCTAAGATATTTGTAAATATACATTTGCATTCAACTGTTTCAAAAAATAGAATGGTTTTTGTTTTTGATGTTAGGTGAAAAAACATTGATATTGGCCTTGAAGCATTTACATTATATGGGTAAACGTCTGGTAAATGGCCATAACAAAGACATGATTTGCTTTACACTCCAATTGTGAGTTCTGGAAGTCAAGAACAGTTAAATCTAAAACTTAAAATGAAGTGAAGACAAATGTTAAATCTATATGTTCTTAAGACATTTTGTCTTTTTAAATCATTTGAAAGGATTCCAAATATTCTGACTAAAAATCTTTATAAGACTGTCTTGAAGGTTTGGGCGATCTTGTAAACTTTGTAATGTTTCATGCCTGCTCAAGATAGTTTAGTCTTGTTTTCAGATTTTGTGTAAAAGACCACAGGACTATATTGCTCAATACTTCCTTAAAAAGCTGAAGCTTTCATAGCTATTTTATTTTACTGAATTTATAGCTGATTTCCTATGTTCCTTGGGGCATGCAGATGGGCTCTGTGATTTTCATAAAAGATTTAATTGTCACAGTGGGGGTTAGGCTTCAATTGGAAGAGTGAAATTATCCAGCAGGCGTGCAGCAGCCACTTTTGGAAGATCTACTGGGAATTACCCAAATGCCATTTACTTTCTCTCAGAAAGAGCACAGTTTTTGTTTTTTTAATTAATGAAAAAAGAGAACTGGAATTGAAAGGAGAGGTGGATCTAAAGCTTGAGTAAAAGCCACGTAAATTCCTTGGGGCTAAATTCTTAAGAGATGTATAATAACGGATGAAGGAGGCGGATCAAAGTGTTTGTTAGGATTTGCTAAGCTACTGTAAGGATTTATTTTAGGTAGGCTTAAAGCTCTTCAGCCTTGTGTGTTTTGGTTGAGGACTGATGCTTCCCATTACATAGGGAAGTTTATCCTTATGCCAAACTATGGATGTTAACCAAAAGGCTCATCAGTGGTTTTCCTGTATTAGCATATCTGAGAAACCAAGTTAGTCACCAGAAGTTTGCCCCGTGAGGATGGAATCACAGCAAAGTAAGGTAGGTGATTTTGAGAGAGATTTTATCTAGACCATGATGCCTGATGAATCACTTTTGTTCTACAGCGAAGTATTCTTTTCCAATGGCTGGGAAGTATAGGTTCCTTAAATCCAGATTTTCTTTTTGATGGAGGATGTTAACCATGGCTAACTTCTGGTTCCATTCTATCATCCAAGCTAACCACTCATCCTCTTTCTGATTATAGTCTTTCTTCAGACAGAGAACAATATAATTGGTTAGGTTTCTGCTTTTGTATGGTAGTTGTATTATAGTCTTGCCTTCCAGAGATTACGTTCAGATAAACTTGATTGGAATTTTAGTATTTCCAAACTGTTCAAAACTATTTTTATTTTTTCTTGATTTACTGCCATAAATGGTAAGTCATATTATTGTGTATGGATTTTATTAGTCTAGCTCTATTGAAAGTTACCTTATTTTCAAGTCCTTGTGGGCCACCATTTTGCTATGCTTTGTGTCAATAACAGGTCTGTTTAAGGACCCATAAAGTACTTCTGAGGACCTAAAATGAAGTGGGAAAATGACATCTAAAGTCTCTTGTTTGGGACCTGGGCTATCTATACACTGTATTATAAAATTATCTAAAAGCAAGGATATAATATCACCTTAATAAATAAATAAAAGTTTATTGAGCGTCAGTTCAGGCTAAAACCTACCAATTGTAAATGGAGCTAATTAGTACCTGTCACACTGCGTGAATGTGTGCTTGGTTTCTGGGAGGCTACATGGAGTAAGGTTCTTTGAGAAGTAGAAAATATTTTAATAAAATTAAGTTGAGATCTACAACTTAGAGAGTCCTTAGGCTTTCACTTTTGCGTTCATTTTTTATATGCAAATGGCAACTTTAATAGCCAAGGAAAGAGAGAAACACACAAGTAGGGGTGTCATGCCATGGAACAGGGGTTCCAAATGTTGGCAAATTCCCTTCCTCCTGTTAACTGTCACATATATCTCAGGTTTGGGAGATTGTTTCTAAATTTTGTTGGATGTCTAACTTTATCATCCTTTCCAAGGCTCAGACATCATTTTGATGTTTGAAAAAGCCTATTTTTTTAACTCATTATAGTTAAATTTTCCTTGAAGTGAAACTAGTTCAATATTTGATTTTCAAGGCATTTGCACAGCATTTTAAATTTTGTAAAAAGCAGTGACAATTAATGTAAAGTTTGTGTAGGTGTAAATAATTACCTGAAGCAAACATCCCTTTTTCTTTAACGATTGGCACTTGAGCTACATCTGTTGCCAATCTTTTTGTTTCTTTTTTCTTCTCCCCAAAGCCCCCCAGTACACAGTTGTATATTCTAGTTGTAGATCCTTCTGGCTCTGCTATGTGGGATGTTGCCTCAGCATGGCCTGATGAGTGGTGCGATGTCTGCACCCAGAATCGGAACTGGCGAAACCCCGGGCCGTGAAAGTGGAGCATGGGAACTTAACCAGTCTGTTAAGGGCTAGCCCCTGAAGCAAATGTCTTAACAGTATATAATCTGACATGTTCTTGGGTATAGAAAGTAACTTCTCAAACTAAGACTTGCCTCTAACTTTGTGTTTTGTTATATTGATATAGAACACCTTTGCACCTGGCCTGTGCTAATGGATAGTCAAATGTTGTATCTCTTTTAATTGAGAAACAATTCAAAATGAATGTCTGGGATAGTAAAAACAGATCTCCATTGGCCAAGATGCTAATTTTTCCTTTCCAATTGGAATGTTTTGCAGTTCTTCTCCTACATAACTTTTGTTGGATTTCATCTTTTCAAACATAGTATTAAACATTAGTTTAATGTATCATATCCTGCGTAGTAAATTGCTTGCTTCTCTATTCTTGTACCGACAGGCAGCACAGTGTGAAAAGGAGAATTGTGCTTCTGTTCTTCTAGACCGTGGTGCAGACCCAAATCTGGTGGATTCAGATGACAATACTGCTCTCCATTATGCTGTCTGTGCTCAAAGTGTCTCATTAGTCAAAAAGTTGATTTAACACGGAGCTCATCTTGGAGCTCAAAATAAAGTAGTCTTTTATTAAAAACAACACAACGTGTTTTAGAAAGCAATGGAAGAAAGTATTCATTGCAGTAATTTGCATCTGTTGATATACATTATATAAAGCATGAATTTTCCAAAATGAAATGGAGAGGAGAGGAGATTATCAAATCCCGATGAAGTTTTCCTTTTTCAAAAGTCTTTCTCCATTTCATTGCAGGTTATAATCCTCAACTCCAAAGCAATGTCATGTTTAACAATAACTATTCAAAGGTCTATATCAAATGAGAAATATTTGATTTCCCTATAAATGGATATTGATTAAAAATCATAAAGCTAACATCTTTTATCTTTTCTATTTTATTTGTACACTCATGAATAACAGTAAGAACAGGGTTGAATTAGAAAGTCATCTGTTGTACTAAAAGTAATACAACTCTCCTATTGAGACATTATTGATAATTGAGAAGTATTCTTTTTATTAAGCTTCTTAACACTTTAATTCACTGATATTTTTGTCTACATGACAGCCCAAAATAAGTGCCAGCCTTGGAGTTTAAATAACACCTTATGGGAACCCAACTGTAATAACATTTTGAAATGTGAATTGATAGTTGGCAATATTTATGTTAAATGCTAGGGGCTCATCACTTAAATACTCCAGGCTGCTCTTGCCCACAATTTGAATTCAGCCTAAAGTAGAAACTTTAATTTTATTTTTTGACTGGCCCAAATACAATTTACTTTCTTGGTCTTTGAAATCAGATTTTGTTAAGTATCACAACCTTTAAAAAATTCAAGTACATATGCAGAGGTTTCTTATAACTACACATGTTTTAAATTAAACTTAAATCTAAAAGGCATGTAATGTTGGTACAGTATTTTAAATAATCATTTTGAAATAAATTTTTTCAGGATGTGTATACTCCACTTTTACTTGCCATTACTGAAAATAAGGCAGAAATGGTAGAATTTCTTCTACAGAGAGGGGCAGATGTCAATGCTTTAGCTAAGAATCAAAGGTATAATTAATGCTAAATAAAAGCATATAATTACAGACACCTAACAGATACCTAATTTGATATTGGGAAAAGATTTGGCCATATTATTTTGGACAAATTACCTAGATTCTATGGGTCTATTTTTCTATCTGTAAAATCCAACAGTAGAGCCAGATTGGTAGGTTATTATAATTATTATTATTACTATTATTTGGTGAGGAAAATTGGCCCTGAGCTAACATCTGTGCCAATCTTCCTCTATTTTGTGCAGGCTGCTGCCACAGCATGGCTTGATGAGCAGTGTGTGGGTCCATGCCTGGGATCCAACTCTGTGAACCCCGGGCGGCTGCAGTGGAGCTTGTGAACTTAACCACTATGCCACTGGGCCAGCTCAGTTATTATTATTATTAATTATTATATAAGATTAGAGTCTTACACAGAAACTCAATCTCTAAATCCCAGATGCTGTAGTTAAATGAGGGTAGGGGACCTAGAGCCCCAGACATGACCCTCCATAGAATTCCTGAGATGTCTGGAAAACACTAGGGTCCCAGGGAACAGAAACTGAAAACCCTGAGCCAGCTGCTCACTCAGGACTCTATCTTCGGACTCCATGATGTGATCTGTGATTGGCGCAACTTTTTGAGTAGATGCCCCACTTTTTACATTCTTGCTCTGACTCTTTTCCTGATAGAAATCCTACATTTGAACAGTAAATTTAGAAGATTAATTTTTTAAAAAAGTATAAGACATGTTTAAGATCCATAAATAGTCATTTATTTATATCTCTTGCTCCAGAACAGCCCTATGATTGCTCTCAGTGATGAGAAAAACTGTTTAGTAAAAATACTTTGCAACGTATTGTGTAGGCATGCATTAGAACATTTAAATAAAGTAAAAATATTAACATTTCAGCTCCAAACTAGAGGAAAAAATTATAATCCTGTGTAAACAGAAATTCTGTTTTATTTACAAGTACTTTCATTGATAAAAGCTTTTTGATTTTTTGTGTGTGTGTGTGAGGAAGATTGGCCCTGACCTAACATCTGTTACCAATCCTCTTTTCTTTGCTTGAGGAAGATTGTTGCTGAGCTAACATCTGTGCCCATCTTCTTCTATTTTATGTGGATGCCACCACAGCGTGCCTTGAGGAGCAGTGCCAAATCCTCACCTGGGATCTGAACCTGCGAACCCTGGGCCACTGAAGAAGAGCTCACAAACTTAACCTCTATGCCACTGGGCTGGCCCCCTTTTTGATTTTTTAGAAATACTACAGTAAGACATATTCAGAAAACTTGGGTATTATGGGGAAAAAAAGTATTGCCCATAGTCTCATCATCAAAACAAAACATTTCTTACATTTTTGGCATGGTTTTATAGTCTTTTAAAATTTGCTTAGCTTTTTTTTCCCCTCAAAGGTAATTAACAACTTTGCATTTTTCTTTTTAAAAACATAATACAGAGTACTCAGTTTTCACTGTGCTCCTTGCCATACCTTAAACACATCCAGCGTGGTCTGACTTTAGGACTATTCATTCCTTGGAAGACTCTTCCTTTAGCTGTCTCCTGGGATAACTTCCTTGCCTCACATGGGACCTCAGCACAGCCTTCTTGGCTGCCCTGCCATCCTGTCACTTACAGTACTTTATTATCCATTCCTATCCTCCTTGTCTTTTGCATTGCATGTTCCACGAGAGCTTGAACTTTTTGTTCATAATTAAATTCCCATCACTTGTAAGATGCCTGGTGTATAGTAGGTATTCAACTTATCGAATACATAATACTAACTGACAGTTGTTAGGCACTGTTCCAAGCACCTTACATATTTTAACTCATGTAATCTTCGCATAGTCCTGTTGAGGTAAGAAGTGTTCTTATCCTCGTTTTTTGATGAGAATATTGAGGTGCAGCAAGGTTTAATGACTTGCTTAAGGTGACTGAGCTAGGAACCTGACATAAACCTGTATGCTCTAGATTTGAAGCTACCCAGCCTGACTCCAGAATTTGTGCCATTAACTAATACACCATACTGTTTCTCCCATGAATAGATGAATATATATCAACCCTATAAGCTCTGTTTTTAATGGCCCAGAATAAAGATGTTAGTATTATTTGCAATTTATTTAAACCACTCATTCATTTAAATATATTTGTTGAACGCCCCTCTGGTGCTAGGTGATATGGAAGAGCTAAAGTGGAGGAAAAAACCTGACAATTCCTGACAGCAAGTCAACACACACTTAAACTCCACTAGGATTTAGATCAGTGGTTCTCGACTGGGTACAATTTTGTCCCCTAGGGAATATTTGGCAATGTCTGGACAGATTTTTGGTTGTCAAGACTGAGGCGGAATACTGCTCAATAGCCCACAATACACAGGACAGTCCCCTGCAACAAGTACTTATCTGGCCCCAAATGTCAACAGTGCCCAGGCTGAGAAACGCTGGTCTAGACTTCATATTGTGTACTGGGGAGCAAAGATGAAGCTATCTTACACCCTCTGCCCTCAGAGAGCTCACAGATGTTTAGTTTCCTCCCCACCTCAATCTTTCTCAACTGTGTGAGTTAATGAGGGTCAGACTATGTGTACTCTATCTTGACTGTTAGCGTAGAGGGAGGGAGTTACAAACTACCTGGGGTAGGTTGGGGAAGGTCAGGGGCTATTTCAAATAAAAGAGAACTTTTGACTGGGCTTGAAGGACAAGTAGGCTTTCTCGGGGTCTTCCAATCAAAACTTAGCTATCATAATAAATGCTCGTTCATAACAGAGGCACAAGCAAAACACCCAAGAATCAGAGGAGGGACAGATCATTTGTGGAACCTTGACCAGGGTTAACCTTGATGAGGAAGAAGGCATTTGAATCAGGTCCTGAAGGCTGGGTGAAATTGTGATGTGGGACACCTAATACAAAACTAGGTGGGAGAGAGGAAGAACTTCGTATACTTTAAAACTGAACTTGTGTTGACTACCCATTTGGGGAAAATGCATCCTCTGAAAGAGTACGTTGTAGTGCAGGTATAGTGTGACGATATTGGACTTGAGTTTAACTGCCAGCTCATTCTTGTGAATTCTCCAAAGTATTTCAGATCCTAGAATATTGTCAAATTGTGAATTACTTTTTAGTTTGCCTGGTAATGTCTAAAATAGAGCACACTTACTCATCCTTTAAGAAGTTTAACAACAGAAAGCAATTATTTAATACATATCCAACTTTAGGAGGGTATATATTATCCTAAATACATCTTGGAGGGAGCAAGTGGGACTGGGCAAACCATGTGGACTAACACAGGTCTGTGCTAAAAGAAGAGAGAACACATTTTTCTAATTTTCAAAGGTACTTCTGTGGGCTAGTGCTGGCCCTGTCTCAGCTCCAACACAAACCCCTCTGAATTTGTTCCCTTGGTTATCTCTCTGAAACTGCAGCCTCTGCTGGCACCAGCCAGTCTCTGGGGTGCTGGTGCTGCATCGCTGTTTTCCAGAAACCCATGGACCATGCCTTTGTCTGGGCTACTCATTTTTATGTAAAACAAGTCCTTCCCAATTTTGTTGAGGGTTGACATCTTTTTGTGTTTTTCTAGTCTTCTGTTGTTAAAGAGTCACTTTCTATGCCCACTGATTCCATTCAGAGCCCCGCTGCTCCTTAGCTCTTCAACTTTCCTTAATGATACATTCCTGAATTGCTATTGTGGACACAAACTATAGGAACTTGGGGAAGAATCTTAACCTTTCTGAACTTGTTTCTTCATCTGAAAAACTTGTTGTGAGAGTAAATGAGAATGAAATTATTCAGCACAGTACCTGATAAAGAGATATTGCTTATCAAAATGTTAGTTTACTTTCCTTTTACTTTGCATTGAAGAAAGAAAACCATAACCCAGGTTTTTTCCTTTGCTGTTTTCCTATTCCTTTGGGCTCATTGTTTCAGTCTGTGCTGACCTTAAGGCAAAAGTCCCCACACACTCTGACTCTCACCAAATTTCACATGACACCAAGAATATCATTGTTTCCTAGTTTGACCAAGTGTTACGGGATTATAGTAGATTGGATTATTGCTCAGCAAATATTCAGTCTTCTTTCCCTGACCTTTTCCCTTTCCTGCTGACTTGGCTTGCTTGTGTGACTTGCATAGGCGGGTGACAGGTTCCCATTTTCTGGCAGACGCCCATCACCCTCTTGCACTCTTACCATCCTCTATGAGAACAGCATCCTTAGGTAGCAGCTACTTCTTCAGTCTGGGTCCCAGCATGAGACACATACAGTACAGATCTGAACTCAAGCCTAGCTGATACCAGGAACCCAGACTCATAAATGGGAAATAATTGTTTATTATTGAAGCTACTGAGACACTGTGATTGTTTATTGTCCCAGCAAAAGCTGACTAATACATAAAGCATGAGGAGAGGGTCACAGTGTGTAGCTCCCGGCATTTCATGCACTCAGTCCCCAGGACGTATACTGTGTCCCACTTCTGGATTCCACATCCCTCCCTCTACAATCATTCCAGAGCAGCTCAGTCCTGCACCCCCTTATTGGTCTCTTATTATGCAGAATTGTTTTCCTCTTGCCAGTGAAACTTGGAAGGGAGTCGTCAGCTCCAGAGTGTGTGTCTCCCTGGCAATGCGCTTGTCCAAGTACGTTCTCTAGAAGTCAGGCCTTTCTCTACAACAATTATTTTACTAGCTGCAAGGAAAAAGTTGTTCATGATGTGTTACATAAGATGGATGTTTTTATCCTGTAGTCTTTTCTGAGATGTAAGTGAATCTTACTCAGGTTTAGGTAATCACTTCCTTGCTTTAAAACTAATACCAGATATTTCTTTCCTAAGGAGTAGAATTAGTTTCTTATTGTTGTAACAAGTTGCCACAAACACAGTGGCATAAAACAACACAAATTTATTATCTACGGTTCTGGAGGTCAGAAGTCCAACATGGGTCTCACAGGGCGGAAATGAAGAAGTTGGCAGAATGCGTTTGTTTCTGGAGTCTCCAGGGGAAAATCTGTCTCCTTGCTCTTTCTAGTT